TTACAAGCAAAAGCAACCAAATCCAATATAGTTGCAATAACACCAAGTAATTGCAACGAAAACCAATACTATTGCAACTCAAAAATGCCATTGCAATAATATCAACTAATTGCAACGCAATTCTTAAATGGTTACAGTAGCACAAGCCTGTTGCAACGACAAACCACACATATTGCAACAAATTTAGTCCGTTGCATTATAGGCACATATTGCAACCATTTTTTGAAAAGGTTGCAATACGACCCACCTATGACAACCAAATTAGTGGTGTTGCAATCATGTGACGTGGCATTAGAGGTTGAACCTTATAGTGTTAGCAAATCCAACCTTACCCTGCATATGGACATATGAAGGATAAGGCTTGGTTTATTTGCATAAAGCTATCTTTTTGACACATGAAAGGTTTCACTTTATAAATATCTTTGCAAAAGATATATATTTTCCATATATAATAGTATTTCTGAAAAAAGGGTTGATCACAATTTTAAGTGTTGTTGAACCCTTTGTTTCACAACACATGGCAGACAACCATTCATTTCTAAAATCACACCCACTCTCATGTTTCCACTCATCCCAGCCCATCTAGTTGTTAAAACCAAACCATAACCGAGACCACGGACACGGCTATCCGGATAAATTTTACACTCTGCAGAGGTTGTACACTTTCACCATAAGTAGGATACCATAACTTAATACCGTCGTCAAGCACAGATCCATCAAAGCCATTACCCTCCATAGCTAAGTACTGTCGCTCAACACGGGAACACTAAGCCAAGGTCCTCATAGTATAATAATAGAACTCATTTCATTTATAATTCATCAAATTCCACATATATATCTTAGTGTCCCGTTGCACACCTGCCTTCAGGTGATTGCCATACCAACTAGGGGGGTTTAGACTAAGCCTTACCGCATACAAGGTCGAGTAGCTGTACGATAAAATGAGTTAGACAAGATGAATCATCAACTCAATCCTTAATTGAGACAAGGCGGATATCTTCACGCTTAACCACAAAAGGTACAAGCCACAACACCGCGGCATCCCACAAAAGAAACATCGATCTCTAAGGTAATCACCATCTACAACTTATTCATTAACCTTTTCAAAATACACACATTTTATCCTCACAACTCACACAGTTTTCCATTTAAAATCATTGTATTTGAGAAAAATGTAGTGTTGAGTATCCATGATGAATACCAAGTCCTAAACATACTAAATAACGTTATTTCGCCATAGCGTAACATTTATTCCTAAGTTTGAACAAGACATTTATCAGCTAATATCAATTCAAGGATGGCTATCCAAACGGGAGCAAAGCAGCGAAAATACTTTGTACGTATAATCGTACATATAATATTTAAAATGGCTTCTACGGGTTGTGTTTAAAAATAGGAGCAACATGCATCAAAGGGGAATAGGTTGGACTTGCCTCCGTCGGCGTCCTCGGCAAATTCCGGCTGACAGTTTGGATCCTCAGCGTCAAACTCAAGGTACTCGCCTCCAAACTCATCCTGGCCGCCGAGATCGTCGTTCGCCTCCTCGGTCACTCCATCGGCTCACGACATGCAAACGACCAAAACAGGCAAACAAACACATATAATATTCACAAAAATTCAAATGAACTCTAAAAATTATGAAACTTCATGGATGGATAGAGTTTGATTTTAGATGAATTTAGAAAGAAGTGATGAATCGGAGGTGGTATGGTGGAGATTTTTTTTTTGCGAACAATATGGTGGAGATATTAACTGTGCAAGGTGGCCGCTAATTAAATCGAAGGAAAATAATGAATGAACATACGGAGTAATTGGCTGAGTGGTGTTTTGGGCTTCACGTCATGCCCACTGGGCTGCGGCTTGCTTTGAGTGTGGCGCTAGCATTTTGGGTCAGAAATAACAGAGGGAGAGAGACACGGGAGACAGGGCAGAGAGGCAGAGCAGCGAACAACGTTTCGGGTGTTCGTGCTCCCCGTCTCGCCGCCATGGCTGGCTGCTGGAGCTCGGCTAGCGGGTGCTTTTGGCCACCGTTCTCAAATCCGAGAACACGGGGAGGGCGAGGAGAGGTAGGGGGTGCATGGAGGCTACCCAGCTTGGTCTATTGCAGCTCGAGGGAGGAGATCGGCGGGGCGAGCTTGAGCTCGGGAAACAGAGAGTCGGAGAAGAATTGGGACCGAGGGAGGAAGCTGCGGCGCTGGTGGCTTTGGCAGCTTGGCGCGGTGGCGAGAAGCGGCTCGGGCTGCCATTTTATAGGCGGGCATGCACCGTTGCTGGGCGAGGGCAAACGGAGCGAGAGAGAGGTGGGGACGGGCAGATGACGTTGGTGCTACGAGGTGCAGGATATAAGTTCGGGAGATATATGGAGTGGATAAGAGTTGGAAAGGGATAATAGAGCTCAACTGGTTAATAGTTTGCAAAATTAGATTTTAAAAATATTTTTGAGCGAGTGATTTTAAGGACTTGGATTTTTAGGATGTTACAGGTTCTCTAGTCATATTGTCCAGATTTCTGGCTTATTACAGGATTATAAGAGGTTGTCCATGAATGAGGATCTTTATAGATCAAGATCTACATATATGTAGCATTGCATGCATGGAGAGTGAGAGAGAGAGGTGATGTTTTTTTTTTTTGCAAGAAATGAAAACAAAGTGTTTCTCTAGCTAAGATTTTAAAACTCTATTTGTGACTTTAAATGGGAATAATATTTTGAAGCAATTATATGTTTTGGTTGGTCGAGATCCCCTCATGGACAGACCATGTAAATAGCTCATGTCTCCCTTAATGTGCCTATTTATTTGCAGATCTACAATTAGACCATATAAACATAGATACCCAAGTAGGTCATATTTCTTTAATTTATACTAAAAATTATAAGATAAATCACAATGATTCTATGCAGGTAAGATACTACGTACGCATGGGTGTGCGCAAGATATATACTAGTAGTGACATATATAAGTAAATACTCCCTCTGTCCCAAATTATTTGTCGTTTTTTGTTTCTGTGCCACAAGTTTGACTTGATTTGTAGAAAATACGTGCAACATTTGTATCTTTTAATAAATTTATTAAAAAAACTAGATTCAAATATCTTTTTAATGATATCAATTATGTACCATAAATATTAATATTTTTAATATATATTTTATCAAATTTATTTCTCGGAAAACGAAAACGACAAATATTTTGGAACGGATGGAATATGGATAGATGTTTGACACGTGACATGTAGTTGTTTGTCTCGTTGCTGGTGCTGTGCTCCCCATGATGTGTAGATGTGACGTGTGTAGCTAACATCATGAGGTGCGAACCTCTAGGGGATCATCAACATCGACAGGAAAAGAAGTGGGAGTGGTGTCCACCTGACGAGCTCAGTGTTAGGTTTAGGGGCGGTCTGATCCGGACCCTTTCCAGGCTTACTGATGTATTACACTGTACTCCTTCGTTTCAAATTATAAGATGTGCTCTGATCCGGCTCTTTTCTAGGTTTACTGATGTATTACACTGTACTCCCCCATTTTAAATTATAAAATATTTTAACATTTTTAGATATATTACTTTTATTATATATCTAAACATAGTGTATATCTAAGAGTGTGTTTGGATAGAACTCTTATCAAAATTGCCTGGGCTAGACCACTACCTGTATGTTGCCTGGAGTTCATTTGGTTTGAGCCCCGGGTTTCATTGCTTGGTGAGTGGTGATAATTGCCTACCCTGGTTGTTGGGCGCCAGGGATAGGAATTCGAGTGGGGGCATATTCGCTTGAACTTATCAGTCGGTTTATCAGCTAGAATCTACAGTATTTTTTTCTCATAACAAAACAGTTTCAGTCAACTTATCACCGACTTTAATACCAACCGAACAGGCGGGGTTTCTAACACGGTTGGCTGGCTAAAATCACGTACTCCTCGGTCTCAGAAGAAAGTGTTATTCTCACTTCAAAAAAAACCATTTTTAACTTTAACCAAATATATGTACGATAATATTAATATTTATGGTGCATAATAGTATCGTTAGATGAATCGTTGAATATATTGTCATAATAAATTTATTTGGAGATATAAATGCTATTAATATTTTCTATAAACCTATAAAAGTTTGACCAGCGCGCATCCTAATAACTTTTCTTGGGAGACGGAGAGAGTACTGCTCTTCTAAAGGGGTGTTTGGTTTCTCCTCCTAAACTTTAATCGTTGTCTCATCGGATATTTAACACATGCATGGAGTATTAAATATAGACTAATTACGAAACTAATTGTAAAGCTTGCGACTAATTTACGAGACGAATCTTTTAAGCCTAATTAGTCCATGATTTGACATGTAGTGCTACAGTAAACATGTGCTAATGACGAATTAATTAGGCTTAATAAATTCGTCTCGTGGAGTACTGACGGATTCTGTAATTTATTTTTTTATCAGTATCCGAACACCCCATACACACCCTCACGTGACACCTCCTAAATTTTAGTCACCGGATCTAAATAGCCCCCTAAATAAAGCTGAGTGCAGGCCTAGGCAAGTAACAAACCAAACACTGCCAGTCTCTCTTTCACCCGCTCAGGCACATACCGAGGGCTTAAACCAAACAATTCAGCTGGTTCTTGATTTGCCTGACCAGGCATTTTTGCAACCGCTGCCAGGCATGTCACAGGCTTGTAAAATGCCCAGGCAACTAACTCAGGGATACATCCAAACAGACCCTAAGTGCATAGCAAATGCTACATATCTAGAAAAGTTAAAACATCTTATAATTTGGAACGGAGAGAGTATTACATATCAGTTCATCACTTCATCCCAAACATGTGAGCCCTAAGAGTGGCATGTACATCAAACTTTATTTCCGAGCTCTAAAGTTTGGTAAAATTTTTGATGTAATTAAGAGACAAAAGGCTGCCTAGAATGTGTATGTACACCTTGGAAGTTGGCACCACTTTGCTCACTTCAGAAACACGACACAGCGCAAATCAAATGTGTGGTCAAGCAATCAGAAACTCAAAATCATTGCTGCTGTCCCATTTGCCATTCTTGTATAGCGAAGCGAAGGGCATTGTTGGGAATTAACTCGTGGTGCGTCAAATTAAGGTAGGTCATGGGCGACATTGTATGCCCCCTTTGGATCCAATCTTTAATGGCCTCACCTTCATATGTGAATCCATCAGCGGCAATATGTGGATCTCGCATAATCTCCTGAAACAACGCAATAATGCATATGCAACATTATATTAGTTGAAAGGAATTAAAACTTTACTGGATCTGGTGGCTGACTGTTAAGAGTTGTATGTAATTGCTGTGTGGTAAATTTACTGTCAGGCTCATAGGTAGGAGATTGTGATACTAGGAGATCGCAAAAAAAAAAAAAATTGTTATACTAGGTGTGTATGTGATTGTGATACTAGGTGAAGATTTATTTTTCATCTACGCTAGCTACTTCTGCAGTCCTGCTGAGTACTAGTCAGCTTCAGTTGCAACTGACCTGTGTCATTGGGCAGATGAAATATGATGGTGCCTCTGCGTCCGGAGGATGCATTGAAGAAGGTGGCGGTTCATTCATCATAGCTTGCAGGATACCCCATGCCTCTCTTGCAAGATCAGGGCGATCCTTTCTGTTTAACCGACAACATTTCAGAGCTAGTCTTGCCAACTCCTCGGCGTGCTCAAGAGGCCATTCCCCTGCAGAGGCGTCAAGTATCTCATGCAAGGCACCGCTGCTCATGGATGCCTCCACCTCACTCTGAAGGCCAAGTGGACTCTTGCCTGTTAGCAAACGCAGTAGCACAACTCCAAAGGAGTAGACATCATACTGCGCTGTAAGCTCCCCTGAAGCCATGTACCCTGGATCCATGTAACCCAATGTGCCTTTTATGTGGTCCGTTCTGTGGTAAGGGGTGACAGTGGTGTTTGTCAGGTCTAAGGAGCGAGAAATTCCAAAGTCCCCCAGCTTGCCTACAAAGTTAGTATCAAGGAGCACGTTGTCAGGCTTCAGATCACCATGGGCGATGCTTTTCGGTTTGTTGGAGTGGAGGAAGATGAGCGCTGTGCAGATGTCGGCAGCAATTCTGACGCGCATTCTCCATGGGAGTGGCTCAGTGTGTAGCTTGCACTGGAGACGGTCCTCTAGGCTTCCGTTTGGCATGAATTCATAAACCAGCACCTTGGGATCTCTGCACACTCCAATGAGAGTGACAAGGTTCGGATGTCTCATCCTACATAGAATCTCCACCTGCAAGCAATATTTGCAAAAGTCGCAGATTTAGATTCATGTTTCCTCCCATGCAAATAAAGCCTACATTTGAAGTGGATGAAAATTAAATTACCTCAACGTTGAATTCTTTCTCTCCTACTGCACCTTCTCGGTTGAATTTCTTTATGGCCACAGTGGTCTGACGGAGAAAACCCCTGTAGACGCTTGCACATCCACCTTGTCCAATCTCCCTAGAGCCATCAAAGTTGTTGGTTGCTTCTTCAATCTCACTGTAACTAAACTCTGTCAAGGAAACTTCACCGGCAGAGGCAAAATTTCTGTTGCTATATAGTTTGTGCATCTCTTCGACTTCTCGTAGAGCGTCTTCTTTCTCACGCTGCAGCTCTCCTTGAAGCTGCTGGAGCTCTTCCAAAAGAGAGTTGGTCTGGAGAAGCTTATTCTCCAGTTGTGCCCTTTGCTCATTTGCCTTCTGTAGCTCATTGTATATCTGCAACTTCTCCTTTTCAAGAATAGACTTTTCTTTGGTCAGTTTTTCCTCTACCTCCTTTTTTTCTTTGCGGAGTGAATTCTCCCGTGCTTTGGACTGCAAGAAAATTATTTGAATACACGAAAGATTAGTTGACCATTTAAGAAAAAAATTGCTCATGTTTACCTTGCTGGCATTTGGATCTTTTGTTTTCTCAAAGAAAAAAAAAGGATTCTTTCTATTCAGAGTTAAGGGTAAGGGTAAACTTGTAACATTATGATTAAGCAAGAAGAAATTAGTTTACGAAAGCACATAAGTCACCTTCATGGAAGCTTCAAACAGGTCCCTTTCTGCTTTTTGGCGGCCCTCACATGCTTCCTTTCTTGATCGTTCTAGCTCAGTGCGGGCTTGCTGTAGATGCTCAAACACTTCATTATGCATGCCATTTTCCACCTACAAAAGGTTAAGATCTGCTTTGAGTTCAACAAATAACAGAGCATTATCCAACTACTATAAGTATCTTTTGCAGAATCAAGAATATCAGCCAAATGTTCCATGAATGTTGCAAATTTGCAAATATATGATAGAGTAAAGCAACATATTCTAAGTTCTCAACAAATGGTGAGCCTTTTTGACACCAGATAACACCATCAATCATAACAAGGGAGCTCTCCCGCATATTTACATTTTCTTTAAATCTTGGCATAAAAGATCTACATTTAGTTACAACCATATAGACATCAATGCCACATGATCAGTAGCATTTTAAGTTTCCATTCCCAAAACTTCAAAAGGCTTTAATTTGTTCCTAGAACCGTGGAGAGAAAAAAAGGAGAGTTGAAACTACAACTTGTTTAATGCCTTTGATCATAAAAATCTCTATGGATCAATGATTACATGGAAATTTTGCATGCGATTCCTACATTGAAGAATAATTATTTGTGTATGAATAGGTCATAAGGTATAGTTTAGAACTCATAGTAATTATGTATTTGAGAACCATTTAAGCACAGGGGTACCTGGTACCTGATTTTTTTTTAACACATAGCAATTGATTTCAATTGACCTTGTTTTAATGCATAGCAAACGGTTTCAGCTTAACACTATACCAGTAGTTATTTTGGCAAAGCTCATTATTAGCGAACACTACTCAGTTCTGGACTTACCATAGACATTTGTTGCTCTTCATAGCTGATAACTGAGGCCAGTACTGGCGACCCATCTAAACTGTCTGAATCCTTTAGACTTGATGAGGAGGACCCTTCATTGCTCGGGAGACTGGAGTTCGGAGAGCAATATGTTGTTTTCACATGTATCGACTGCTGTGCTATAGGCGACATCCTTTCCACATTGTTTCCTACCAATCCTGACGAGGGGTAACTAACTGAGTGTGACCGTCTAGGTAGGAATGGTTCATCAGGGGAGCCCCTGTAACCAGGATGCCCTGGTGGCAGTGACACCGATCTCGTAGGTAACTCAGTTTCATCTGAGAGAGTGCTTGCAGAACTGCTTCTAGGTGAATCAGCTTTTGTACAGTCCAGATTGGCATCCCTGAAATTGAGGATGAATCGACAACAACATTGTTTTACCAGGTTGCCCAAAAAAATGATGGCGAGTCATTGCACAAGTCAGGATTGCTATACAATTTTTGAGCGGAAAAAGTCTACTTAACCCCCCCACCTTTCATACTTGGTCTACTTCACCCCCCAACTATGAAACCGTCTGTTTTACCCCCTGAACTTTCCAAAACCGTCTATTTTACCCCCCGGGCGGTTTTTGACAGCGGTTTTGCTTAGACATTCTGTTTTACATTAATTGAATATATAATACGGTATGCTTTAGTACAAATTCAAACCCACCTTTACTGTAGCAAAACCGCTGTCAAAAACCGCCCGGAGGGGTAAAATAGACGGTTTTGGAAAGTTCAAGGGGTAAAACAGACGGTTTCATAGTTGGGGGTGAAGTAGACCAAGTATGAAAGGTGGGGGGGGTTAAGTAGACTTTTTCCTTTTTGAGCAGCAGGGATGCATGAAGGTCGAAGGGTGAATACCTAGTGCAACCAAGAGACCCTTTGCAAATGAAGAAGAGCTGGCAAAATGGTTTGGCTTGTTGATGCACAATGGCTGCAACTTTTGACTTGGGTAATTTCCTCTTCCTGTTCATGGAAATCAACATTCAACAACATAAAGAACAGAGCTGACCTCTAATTTAGACAGGGTGATGGTAACTAATAAATCATATTTTGCTTATAAGAAGTTCAATCACACCTTGTGATTGCCATGTACCATGTAACAAGTATGCAAGAAACAAAAGCACTGGATTTTGTTACTGATACTCTGTTTTAGCAAGAAGTCTCTTTTCTGTTGGCTATCAATCCTGTTGCCTTTCTTGTACTTATTAACATGGAAAGCAACAGATGTGGCGATGAACAAATTGAACATAATACTTTCACAACTAAGACTTTTTAGATAAAGGAAAATAATCTGGCCTCTATGTTCACGCATGAATGTATATAGCCCAACTTTCACAACTCAGATGATGCTCTGATATTCCACTAAACGAAAGATGGTGTATTAATATCTCTATAATAATCTATGCAGTTTAGGATAAACTCATGTATGATTTATGATAAAGCTCATCATAGCATTGAAATAATTGTATGTCTGCATACGTTGAGAAGGAAGACATTCCCATGACAAGCTTTGTGATGCGATGCTGATTAATTAGCTCTACAATGCCATTTGCGACATTGTTCTTCTCAATGATCAATGTTTCAGCTTGGACCTGTAAAAGTTGAAGTTTTAGTGGGATGGCACTGGCATGTAAAGGAGAAAAAAATAAAGCACTGCCTAGTTTGTAGTTTATGAGGAACGGCATCTTTTTTTTTTGGGGGGGGGGAGGGGTTGGAAATCCTGCCTTAGCAATTTCCTTATTACTAGTTGATGGTTTTTTCATGATGTACTCTGATTTTTTTCCCCACGAAGTTCAACTAGACCTGATGACACATAGATGCATGGTAGGTTGACCAGAGCGCAGGGATACAGTACAAATAAAGAAATGCTGACAAGTGGTTGAACTTTACAGATGGCTCAAGGAAATTAAATAATTGACTGACCTTGAGATACGACCTGCAGTGGTTCACGTAGGTGTTCAGAAGGGTGTTCATCTCATCTTGTTCAATTTGCCTGAATGCTTTGAGTTCCTTTTCTTCCAGCTGGCTTGCAAGAACCTTGCAACCTAGTCCTACACACACAGAAATTAACATAGTAGAAAACATAGATCGGTGTTAACTCCATTTATGATTACAATTTTTTGCGTGCGTGAAGCGACAGGGACAAGGGCTATGTTAGCTGAGCTAGCTAAGCTATGGAAAAGAGACAAGGGCTAGAAATTAAACAAACAAATTAAATAAAGTTGATGGTTTGTTATTTACCGTTCATGATCCTGTCGGCAGGTTGGTGGACATGGAGCAGGACGAGCTTGAGATCGCCGCCGACGAACCCAAGGCTCTGAGCGGCGCCGAGGTTGGACTTGCCATCCTTGAGGTCCTTCCCGACGGCCACATAGAGCTTCCCGACGCCTCCATCGTCGTCGGCCACCACCACCGCAGCCTCCTCGTCAATGTCTCTGAGGCTGGCGCTCCTGAGGCTACCGCTAGTACCGGTTGACGAGCGGCCGCTCCCTCCGCCTCCGCGCATGAACATCGTCTCGGCGTCCGGCCGAGGCTGAGGCGACGGTGGCAACGGTGGGGAGGGGATGGAATGGGGAGAGCCGCGGGCGCTGACCACTGCCATGTGCCGCAAGTGCTTGCTGTTATTACTCTACAGTATTATCCAGCTAGCACTAGAGAAGAAGCAAGCAAGCGCTATACGCGTATATATAATCGTTTACTCCCTCCAGTCGCAAACATAATTCTATCAAGGTTTGTGCTAAGTTAAATTTTGTTAACTACAATTGTTCATCAAAATTTAATTAAATAAAAAACACAAGCTTAATGATTATAATTCACTATGAAGGTCTTGTTTGATGTAGCTCCTCCAATGGCTTCACAATTTAAAACATGCTCTTACAACTCGTTCCGGTAAACTCTGCATGTGATTTTGTGAGAAAATGTTTAAAGGAGCTCTACATATGAGCTCTTTGTCAAACGGTTTACGAAAATAGCTCCAGCTCCATTGGTAAAGCTGCTCATGGAGCTAAAGCAAGAAAAAAAAGCACCGGTGAAACAAAGATGTATCAAATGAGACCGAAAACTATTTTTATGATATCCATTTATCTTTTTTAATTAAGTAACATATTTTTTAATAGATATGGCTGCTTAAATTTAAGGAAGTTCGATATAGACAAACTTAGTCAAAGTTTCTATAGATATTTATGAGACCATTTTTAACGAGGGTTTCATAGAGGTTTCAAGCTCATTATAAATGAGGCGCCACATAGGGGGGAAAATGACGACATGGCAAGAAAATAACATAATATTCTAAGGCATGAAAATTAATTAAAGCAGCAGATAGAGACGCCCATGAAGAAACAAACGAAAACGCCACTCCTGTCCTATGTTTGCGTCTGCGAGGGTTACGTTGTTTCCATGCTTCTCTTAGCCCTGGTGTTTGGATTCATCGTACTGCCACAAAGATCGCTTCGGCTGTGCATCATACATCATTCCTGGCATCATTGTATCATTAATTACTAGCTTGTGCTAAACAAAGGGATTCTATCAGGAGAGAATTAAACCCAATGAAGATGCTACTCCCTCTATCCTCAAATATAAGGCATTGAGAGTTCAAAATTTGTACCAAATATATAAGGTATTTTAAGGGAACAAACACCCCAAAAAACATCATTCACATACAGACCTATCACTAATATCTATCACCAACCCAAATATGGTAATTAGAAAGAGTTATATGGGTGTTGTCTTACCGTATAATATGTCCTAAAATTTTAGAATTTTAATATGTCTTAAGATTACCTGGATACCTTATACTATTTTAGAATTGGGGTGTACTTTATTTTGCAAATTAAGAAAGAAGGAAAGAAAGATGGTTATTGGTCGTGGGAAATTGAATTAAGACACCAATATATAACAGTCTTAATTTCGGTCTATTTCGCGGAAGTTTCCTGTCTTTGTACTTTTCTTGCCGGTCAACAACAGTACAAGTTGGTTTCTGTTGTGCCTGCAGGAACGAAGAAGCTGGCCTGGGAGAATATACCTGCATCTAGTCATTGATTCTGCTCTCGACCTCAGCCGCTTGCTTGCGTTGGAGGCTTGGTAGTGATGCACGTATTCCGAGGCTGATCTGGATGGGTGCTTACTGCTTGGTAAGGTCAACACTTGGAGCTGCAACGTTTGTTCTCCAATTAATTGCAACGACGCGTTATTACAAGTATATTTATAATATATACTATAGTTTATGCAATGCATTTTAAATTTCTACGTGGACGAACAAGCTGGCAATATACGATGCTTATATATATATATATATATATATATATATATATATATATATATATATATATATATATATATATATATATATATATATATATATATATATCGTGGATTATAAAACTAGAATTATACGATTTTATCTCACATGGATTATAAGCAACAATATAATATTTTTCTCTCACACCAAACCAAGCCAGCAGTAAATAATCCACGATCGTTTACGACGAAACAAACAGGCTGATGATCGTCAGTCACTAATTATGCAATATATATAATGCAGCCATTATATTATCCATGGAAGCTAGGTATATGAAGGAACAATGGATGGGATATTCCACGACGACGACGATGCATATGCCTCGCCCTGCTTCATTGTGTTTTGTTTTTGTTTCCACGGAATGATAACGCGTGTGTCGTTGATGAGTGTGTGTTGAAATTAACCGAAGCACCGTGTGCCCCTATACATACGTACATTAATTTATGCAGCAGCCCGGAACGTGTCTATCTCAGGCTATCGACATCACCATCACTGACGGCGTAGCCAAGGCCATGATTTGATTTATTATATATATGGAACTAATTAACTTGCAACTACAATTAGTGGTTGTTGCAATGTTGCATTCCATATGGACTAGCATGTACGTAGTGTAGTATAAATATTAATTAAGTGATCTATCTCTCTGCAGGGTCGATCAGGTCAACCGAACGACCAATGAGGACGATTTATTTCTTTTACGCACGTCATTTGTTTGACATCTGTTATTTCTTGGACCCATCGGTCGGTCCATGGGTATCGCTAACATATTTTAGTTGGCTGAATATATAGCTGTGCCTGTACTGTGTCATATCATATACACAGTGTGTATATATATATGCTTCCTTTCGTCGTCACACATACTGCTACTTGCAATTGCTTTGCGCCAAACGCTAACCTGACTTAGACTGGAGCCATGGATCACCATGCCTCCGTCCTGCTCCTCCTCATTGGGTCCGTTGACCCCATGAAATTTATAATTCCTTACTAAATTACTGTTCAAGGTTAAGAAAATTTATATCACATAGTGAAGTTGACCTCGATGATCCTAATTGTGTTTTCAGCTAGATTTACCACTGTCGTATGGGGGAAACAGTCTAACTTTTGTAGGCTATGTATGCGAGTTGAGACCGTACCTGACACTTGAGAGCCCATATGGACTCTTGAAAGCTACTAACTACCTCAAAACATTATATTGTCTAAATAAATAAGACTCTACCTTCCTCTCATAAAAAAGGTACGGTACGTTCAATTGATTATTAAGGTAAATCAGGCAGTCGTGACAACAATTAATCAAGCTAGTATTAGCACTAGAAGCCTAGCTACGTCTATGCAAAGAAGAAGCCAAGGAATGACATGTTTAGTTTTACTTTGGGCTGGAGGACCGACCCCAATGCAAGACCACTACGCATGCTTGCAGGCTGATGACTAAAAAAACCATCGATCAAAATCACTTGCCAGTTGGTCTTTTTTTTTGCCAGTTGGTAGGTCGGGTTGCCAGTTGGTAGGTCGGGTTGGTCGGGTCAGTCGTCGTTGTAACACCCTAAAATTTACATCATTTTAAAATAGGTAAATTTAATTTAATTATGTATTTTGTGAGCATTTAAATTTAAAAAATGATAACTTATTTAAAATTTAAAATCAAATATAAGGTTTAGTAACATTTTTGTGTATTCATGTCATTGCATCTTGTTTATTGTGATGAGTGGTTTGACCCAAAATTCAAAATTATTTAAAATATTTTTAAAATGGATTTGAAAATAAAATTTAGAAAAAAAAGAAAAGAAAAAACTCTTCTCCCTCTCTTCTGGCCCAGCCGGGCCAGCAAGCTGCTCGGCCCAGCTCCTCCTCTCCCGTGCGCGGCCCATCTCCTTCCCTCTCCCACGTGGCCCGCTTCTCTCTTTTCCCCTCACCACGCACCCCTTCTTGGGTCGGCCCAACCAAGCCGTGTCGCCGCGCCTCCTCTCCCCCATCTCTTCTCTCGCTGGTAAGTGGACCCTGTGTGTTAGCGTGCCGCCTTCTTCCTCCCCGCGCCGAACTCCGCCACGCCGCCTCCGACTCCGCCACCGTCATGCCTCCTCCCTTTGCCGTGCTTTCCAAGATGTTCCTGGCCATAAATATCGGGCGCCCCGCATCGTGCCGCTTCCATCCTTAGCCTCGGAGCCGCAGCCAAGTCGCCGAATCAACGCGCCGTCGTGGAACCCTAGCGCCGCCGTCCGCCGTCGCACCACCGAACCACGCACCGCCTCTGTCCGCTCTACGCCTCGGTAAGCTATCTAGTCGAGTTCGGCATCTCCCTCTCTTTCTCCCCGTGCTTCCGGTTTGCTCTCCCGTGGCATCTAGGGCCGTCCCTGTGAACTCCAGCGAGGAGCCGAGCTCCCCGGCAATGGCGCTGCCGCGCACAGCGCCGCTCCCGCGACCCCCATTCCCCCATTTGATCTGCACCGCCCGATCTGAGATCAACGGCCTAGATTAGAAGATACCTCTTCGGCGGGTAACTTTGCTTAAGAGACCCCGAGTTTCTATGAAATTAACCCACCGTCTACTTCCTTTTAGAAATAATTCAAAATATGTCCTTGCTTTATCTGTTTTGGCCCCTGTGTTTTTCCAAAAACGAGGCCAGGTCCATTAGGCATTTTAAATTTGGTTTTTAATTATTTTTAATACAAAATTGATTCTAAATATTTACAGAATTGCCACTGATTTTATTTTATACGTAGTTTCTCCGTTTTAACACCGATTTGACCCATTCAAGTTACGTTAGATTCGTAATGGAGTAATCTACATGTTTATCTTGCAGTTAAATATAATTTCAACTTTTGAAATTCGAGGTTAGATTTAATCTATTATTTTAAAGGAAATCTTGTTTAATTCATAACTTTTTTGTTTTAACTCCGATTAGAGTGATTTTCGCGTTTGTGTGTTCGTAGCAACATGTAGAATGTCTTTAAAACCTTTTTAGCTTGTTGTTTTTCATATGTTTGGTGTACTGTTCTAATTTAGTTCTATTGTTTGATTTGTGTATGACTGCATGGATGCTTGTGTGGTGCTTTATGATCATATCTAGTCGGTGAGCTTTATGTTGGTGACATAGAAGAAGTTGGTGATCCAGAAGAAGTCCTTTAGAGGTTATAATTCAATAGAAGGACCTAAGTTTAAGGCAAGTATAGCATGGGACCTTCCTTGTTGTCCTATACACCTTTAATCATTTAATTCATACTGCATGTGTCTATCTTGATTACCACTAAGGATTTCCTAGTACTTTGTACCTTGTTCCTTGATATCTATGGGTTATTGCTTTGGGTAGT